AGAACGGTTGTCGAGGGATTGACTTCACTTGTCTCTTTGACGAGTTCGTAGCTTGGTGCGGAGAATGGCAGAACTCACTTATGATGCCGGCGAAATGTTTGAGAATGTAGCAAGTCCACTGTCTGATCCTGGGAGTCATGACAACTACTATGGCAGACGACTTCGGACTAGGCGCGTTCTACTAAGTCCCCTTGCGGCAACGAGGTCAGTGTACTTCAATAAAATCATTGTTTGAAAACACATTAAATAATTTATTAAGTCTTCACTTTGTTTTCTTAGGCAATGATTAAAAATTCCGATCTTCCTGGCAGAATCTTTCTAGTAGGCATAGTCGTGCTAATAGCCTCTGTCTATGAACAGATTTTACTCATTTCTCTAATCAGATGATGTCTTGGATCCAGCATCTGATCAGACATAAAAACCACTCTGTCTGAGTCATTTCTTAGCCAGCTAACCCTGATCATCTAGTTACACTTGATTATGTCTGCAATCTCTCGTCTATATTGCAAATCTGTTTAAAATGTAATTATTTTTAGCTGCACCCTGAGAGGGAAAACAGTTATTAAATACACTATTCCTTTTTTCCATAGTCCTGCTTTTGTACTCAATTTATTCCTTTGTATTACTTTATCACTTTCTAGATCATTATATTTCTAGCCACCATAGTTACTAGCGTAAATCCCTGTTTCAACTATTAGAATCTCCATTTTAGATTAAGAATAAGTAGTTTGTTGCTTGACATATTAAGGACTCGTGGAAAATTAATTTTATTGCAATAGAACGCCTTAATTGTGCTCTCATCCAGACTGGTCTCTGGCTTATAACTTGACTGTATCTAATGCCCGACTTACTTCAGTATTCTGCGTCAGTTTCTGATATCAACTATGTTTTCCATTTTTATTTCCTTTCTTGCTCAATTAACTTGCAGCTTCTCTTTATATCACATTTATCTATTCTATCTATGACATTTTGTAGCTCGCAGCAGCTTTGCCACGGCTATTGTAGCCGACGCTTTCACGTTGATGGGAGTACCAATTTTTCATTCTATTTTTCACTTAAAGGTATTTTGAGGTATCTGACTTGCAGAGAAGGAAACTGAAGTTCAACTATTGGATGTCTTATATTTCTATTTTTGATAATTCCGATTGGGTTACTTTAAATGATACAATTTTGCTGATTTGTGCACCACCACAAGGAAGCTCTTTATTCTTGATTTTTTCCCTGATAGCCTCGCCGGGGATGCAAATCACTGCTGACTTCTTTACCGACGAACAAGAGAAGATCGCCTGACATGTTGGAAAGTGGAGAAAAAGAGGAGAGTGATGAGGAGCAAGAAGAAGACGAAGAGGAAGAAGAAGAGGAGGAGCGTTTCATTGAGGCAGAAGATGAAGAACTCGAGGATGTAATGATGCTAGAGAGGATGCTAAAGGCCGATGAGAATGGAGATGGGGAGGAAGAAGATGATGAGGAAGAGGACGATGAGGATGAAGATATTGATGAGGATGAAACGGAGACTGATGAAAAACGAGAGGAGATTGAAATAAAGGAAGGGACGGAAGTGACATCGGGTATGAAAGAAAAGGGAGAAACCGATTCGCTTGGAGCGAAGAAGCAAGAAGAGAAGATGCGTGATGATGAGGGTAAGGAAAACTTTCAAAAAGCGAATTGGTTCGAAATTTCAAAAAGTCCCGAAAACATTAATATGACTCAGTATCATAGTTAACTTATGTTTACCATGTAGCAGATAGCGACGTTCTCTAAACTATGGGATTATTTAAATTCTCCTATGGACATTATTCACCATGTCCTGTCTTGCCATAATTTAATCAGACCAACAACCATAATTCCTTGACGAATATGGATTTTGTTTCTTTTGATAATGTTGACGTTAACTCATATTACATGCAAGTGGAATATATCAGCTTGCCACGGCTGTTTCCCTTAATTGAATATATGAAGACCAAGATGTTATGGCCTCTGGTATGGCCGCATCCTCCTTTCGATTTATAGAAGGAGGTTGACCTTGTGTCGCAACTTGGTCTTGTTGTCAGGGTGACATTTAGAATAAATCAGTACAACCTTGGGGGCCTGGCAGTAAAGTAGCTGGGAAGACAGATAAGCAAACCGTCACGGAAATTCGGCGTTATAGCTAAAATACACTAGAAATCCAC